TATTATATTATAAAACAAAAATTCTAAAACGCGTTCGCCGCCCACACACTGGGCCCTCCCAATGAAAGGTGCTTCCTTTTGCGGTCAACGGCGGACTCTAACAACGAAAAAGACGGTCAACAAATGTCAATATGGTGGACGTCGGCGATGACGTTTTGGAAAATGAGGGAAAATGATTTAAAGAATAATTTTTTATATTATTTTTTATTTAATTTTATATATTATTTGAATAATTAATTATTTTATTAATTAACTATTGATTCAAATGAAATGAATTTTATTTTTTTTAAAATAAAATTTTAAATTTAAATTTTGTAAATAAAAAATTAAGCATTATAATAATTTTTTCTTAATAAAATTTAACATAATTTGATTTTAAATTAATTTGAATTTAATATAATTACTGAATAATAGAAAGATAATAAAAAATTAATTAATTATTTTTTATTTAATTAAAATTATGATATTAAATTTATTTATTTATTTAATAATATATAAAAATTATATAAAAAATAATAAAAAATTATTCTTAAATCATCACTCAAAATTAAAATAGCGAGGCAGGCGCCGGCAGCGGATAAGGACAAAGAAACGGCGTCGAATAGTTGATGTGACTTCCACGCGTCCAAACGGAATTAACCATGTGATTTTTTTTTTTTTTTTTTCATTTCACTTTATGTTCCTTCTCTTCATTTGTACTTATATTAATCTTTTTGTTACTAATTTTTTTAGTGTTTAAAAATTATATTAAATTATAATTAATTTAGAATTAAATAGTATTAAATTTTATAAAATTAAAAGTATTTTTAATTTATATTTTTTATTTATAAAATTATAATTTAAAATATTACTTAAAAAATATTAAACTCTTTTTATTTTTGAGAGTGATAATTTGTCAGTTGCACTTGTACTAATTGATTTCGTTTTCTCCTGTTCCAAAAAAAAAATTGATTACGTTTTTCTCAGTGCGAATTGCGAAATGTAAATTCAATTAGAGCCGTCAATCGAATTTGATAAAAAAAGTT